ACTTACTCCATGTATTGTAGACCAGCCTTAAGAAAGCTACTTCCGGTTTAATAGAGCTGGAGTAAGAGCGTATGCGAAATGAATTATTTTTATTTCTTACGCCTACTCTTACTCTTACGCCTTTTCACGCATGCCTACAACACCTACTTCACCGTATTGTAGATTGAGTCGGCGTAAACAGCTTATGCCAAAAACGTTACTCCTACTCTTACTTCTTACTCCACGCTTACGCCGGTTATTGTAGACGACGCTTAACACTTAAGTTGGTTAAAAATAAGAAAAAAGAACTTAAGAGAACACAAGAACATACTTCCATAAATTTTCCAGTGCTGACCATAACATTTTGGATAACAATCGCAGCTATATCTCGACTGTCGTCGTCGCTTATCACATGGAAGGCAATATTTACAGAGGCGTATCTGAGCAAGGAGTCTGTAAATATTTGGAACTTGCGTCTCATAGGTGAGTTTGTGGCAACCTTGGTAAAAATGCACCATACGTTGTAATAATTCGTTTCATTTTGTGGCACGATACTCGCTGTCGAAGACAAATAATTGATGGAATAAGCAGTCGTCACTGAGGCAGCCGTAATGTTTGCATCTTTTGTTTGGGGACTAAATACAATCCACCGTCCTCCATCGGATGTCTGATAGCAATATAGAGCAACCAAGAGTAACGCGAGGACGGTCAACCTCAGCAGCACCTTGCGTAGTAAGGGCATTTAAATCGTATCCCTTATTCTTCTAACCTAAACGGGTAAACAAGTTTCAATAATCCACAGAAAGAAAGAAATGCTTGGAATACAAATATCCCGATCGAAAGAGAAGACAATTAGATTTCGCAATTATTAATTTTTCAATTCCTTCCGAATTTGTCCTCGATTGGTTGACTTGGCCAGATAAATTTTAATTCTAACCTAACTCGACTCGGTTAACTCTCATAATTTTTACTCGGCGAGAAACCATTGACCTCACAGCGTGAGAATTGGAAACGCATTGGTAACTACGTGAGCACAATCAATACCTGATTTCTTTTGTTATTGCATCACGTCACCTGGTTAGACCTTCATCAAGCAATAATACAGGTTTGTTTTTTTGTTACTGCACTCGACTGCATTAGAGTGCACTTTCCCTCTTGCTCTCGCACAATTTCAAACATATACCTATTTCACTTTAAGTATAGAAAGTGTGTATATTAATTCAGTATACAGTAAACAGATCTCATGTTTTCTCCGTGTTATTGTCGTTGACGATACAGTCGTTCCATACATCCTCTTGTAACAGTGATCGTAGATCGCGATCGCCTCCGCTGGTCACCGCGACTCATTGCGGAAAGAGTGGTGGGGACTGGGGATACGCACGCTAAAAAAAAAATGAATCCGTGTCCGTGCGCGCTCCCTACCTCGGCCGACTTCAGGCGCTCAGAGGAGTGCGGACATAACATCTCCCATGGAACTCACTTTTCGATTAATTGTGTTATTTTAAGTAGGACTGGACATTTTTCTTTCGAAGGTTTCGACATTCGTACTCGGAAACTTTGAATTACTTCGAAGCGTCGAAAAATTTATTCGTGTGAGTAGCGCATTTATTCAAAGTATACTAAAAATATTGCGAATAAAAAGTATCAACAACGAAGGAATGTGAATCGCCAGTAGTTGATTAACGATAAAAAGAATTGTTGGACGATTTTAGGCTGGCAGATGGTTTCTTGACTTAAATCCAACGTTTCGACCATACGGGTTTTGCGGTTCTTCTCAAGGAATTTAACGATCTACAAGTTTATTTACAGGACACTGCAACTCAAAGGTATGTTGGCCACAAAACGAAATTAACGCAATCGTCTCGCAGCGATAGAGGTGGAGTGACATAGAGGTGACATATGACCTGGCTGAGGTAACATTTTTCGCAATAAATTTTTTTTATTAAAACCGGCCGGTTAATGTCGACTAAAAAGCTTGATATACAAATATGTAAAATATATTACATTTTATCAATGTCTGTATTCTTTAACTTGCATAATAACATTAATTCTTCTTTCAAAGTATCGGTATCTTCGAAACTTCAATTTAAAGAAAGCAATAGCGCAAATTACAGTTCTCTAAGTATTTGCTCTGTGAAAAGAAAGGACATTTATTTTAATTTTCTTGGAAAAAATAGAATTACGTTATAAAGAATTAAAAAACGAGTAGTTCGTGTTTAGATAATTAGATATTTAATGCCAACAGAAATTATTCTGTATTTAAACATATACACGTTTACATTTATTTCTTAATCATAATACACTTATCTGTTATATTAATACGATGTTTATACAAGAAAATAGATCGTTCAACGTTTTAGATATAACATTGTATATAAATCTATGTCTATTAAGCCAAATCGTTTCGATATGTAACTCAATTGACCAGATTTAAAAGACTATCTCATATTTAACACAGTAATGTTTTATGATTCTAATACAATACGTAATTTCTTATACAATACGTAAAAATAAGATGTTACCTTTGGTCCCATTGATAGAAACTTACAGTTAATTGCGAAAATTAGTATGTATTAGTACTCAATATCAAATCATTATTACCGATATCAATCCATCCATCCACAACTAACTTTGGCATTTTTGTTTCTTAATTTTTTAATTAATTAACTTTCTCTTTTTATTTTTTTATTAGTATACATTGCACCAAAGCTAAAGTTAAATGGTTCTATTGAACTAAAAAGAAACAATCTAACTTTCTCTTTCTATCTCTCTCCCTCTCCCTCCCCTTCTTTCTCCTTGTGTTAAAGAATGAGCAATATCAAGTTGATGACTATTGAAGTAAAAATTACCCCTCTTCGACATTTTATTAAACAAACGTCTAATGTCTTAAACGGTATGTACATCTTTCGTTCTGTAGTGCATGTTTCAGTTATCGCAATCGTCATCTTTTGTACATTATATTTACACATGTTCAACGTGATGCCATTATCAAATTTTAATAATTTAGTTATCGAAAGTATATCTTAAAAATATGTAACATATAACGAGCCATTTACAACCTCCTTAATTGTTTGATATCGTAAATACATATTTCTTGCTTTTTCCACATTAAAAGCTGAAAGCAAACAAATATTAATGCTATCCTCTCGGGTGTCCCAGTAATTATACGTAAGAATATATCAATGAACTTCGAAAAATGTTTCAACTTTTTATGATAACTTATTAGCGATACAAATCAGCATTTAAATGTACTTGAAGCGATTTGAATAGTTCGCGGCATTGTTTTGTATTAACCCAAGAATACCATTACAAAAAGCAAAGAGAAGTAATAATTTTATATTAACACTATTATTGCAAATGCGTGACATGTAGATATTTTCTCCCATTTCCAATTTGCATTGCATTATGTAATATTATACATTTGTATTATATATTCTTTATATTACAAAATTATAATTTCCTACTTGGATGTACTGTTTCTTTTTAAGTGAAAAAGTTGTGAACTTTTCTGTCGACTTTGGAGGTCTAAAGATTAATTAGACCAGTTCTTCTAATGTTAAATATTAGTAATATTTTTTTGTATACAGGGTGTCATTGAATATTGGGGACTTTTTTGGTGTGCAGGTAGAGTGGACTAGACCGAGTCGAAAAGTTCTGTACCATTTTGCAATTTTCGCAATAGATAACGAGTAATTAATTATTCAAAATTGTCGTCTTAGCCCGGCCCACCTCCCAATTCGAGCGCGTGGCGAGATGTGACCGCCCGGCGGTCTAATTTATTGTCAAATTTGATCCTCAATATTCAATGACACCCTGTATGTAAAATATAAAGCAAATGTACAGAAGTAAAATAATAATACAAATTAAAATTTTGAACACGCATTCTGAACGGCCACTAATAATATTCTAGGGTTAAACAATTTTTTTTTACTAAACTATTTACAAAACACTTTTATGAACGGTAGAATCTTCAGAATGTAATTCTGATACTTTTAATGGTAATTTTCAATGGAGCATCATCAAACAATTTTGCTCAGATTTCCTTATAAATTTACATGTCCCATAACTGCCTATATTAATATTTCTCTGTAGTCTGAAACAAAAACGATTATTTTTCCACATTAGTTAATTCTGTTAATTATTTCTACAATAATTTCGATGTTTTTGTAATTTTTATATTATTTGTGCTGAAAATGAACCAAAGAAATGGTCCGAAACGTTCGCCAATTTAAATACTGCACTATTGTTTATATAAACATGGTGTTGTATATTTTGATCAAAAGTAGGACTTCCAAATGAGTGCTTTAACTCATACCATAATATACTTACATTTTTTAATTTTTCACGTCCACCGAAGTTCCGAATAGACTCCAATAGCATATCCCGAGGATCTAAATGGACCGGCATTGACTTGGGTCTCGCATTGGCATTCTTTAACGTTACTCCTGTTATCACCGGCATCGTTGGAAGTTCAGAAGACTGCATATTCTTGTTAAAACCATCAACCATCGATAATCCATTGTGGTTTATAGGATTATTATTTCTCGTAGAGTTAACGGTGGGTATCTTGAATCCTTTTACAACCGGCATCGGTGGATAAATCTTTATTGCATTATTGACGTTACATCTCAGAGGCATTTCACTTTGCGACTCAATATTCTGACTCATCCCATTTACACCTACGACAGATGTGAACCTTTTTGCCTGTAATTTGTGCTGAACACCATACATTTTGGGCTGATTTTTAAACGAGAAATTGTTGTTTTGGCTGGTTGCCTTTGCGAACCTGACACAACCGTCTTCCTTAACGTTTGGGTTTGTGATTCTTTCTTTTTCTCTCTGCTGCACATTGCGATAATCCGTGGAGGAACTATTAATATCAGAGCGTTTAGATTTCTGCTTAAAATTTCCATTCTGACTGAATGTCTTTGTCAATTCTTTGAAATTCATCGCTGTGGTGTTAACTTCGTTCTCGTCATTTTTGAGCATTTCCTTCGACGTTTTGACAAAGTTTCTTTTTAGTTCAACCCCCATCACGACAGGTCTGTCTTCATTCTTCGTCAAATCGGACATTGTGTTAACTCGATTCGATGTCTTGAAATTGGACGTGTGTGCGATTAATTTTTTTGTATTTAATTCATCAGGGTTTGTATTTGCCAAAGAGCCAATGTTGATTTCATGTTTAGTGACATTATTTTTACTAACGCCGCTAGTATAGTCTGTAATATCCTTTCCGTTCTTAATGTCATTAATGTTAACAATTGTCTTACTGCCATTAGTTGTATTACTTCTTCCCAGTGTGTAATCGGTGTCTGTTTTGATTTGGATGTTAGCGCTGGATCTTTCCAACCAACTGCCTAGAGTGATTGCAGGTGGACCAGAATAAACATAACGTTTTGTGCTTTCTTCTTTCAGCGATGGTTTACATTTCGATTCTGAAGATTCTTGAAAATCGTGTGTCAAAACTGCACTCATTCTGCCTGAATGTTCGTTGGACTCGTATTTGCTAAAAAATTATTTACAAAAATTATAATATTTATAAAATGGAAATATGTAATTATGTGTATATTTATGTATAATATGTATAATATATATTAAGAGAAAATTGATAACTTTTTCAATATTTAGCTTATGATATCTCGATAACTGTTTGTCGCAGGAAAAGGTAGTGCAGGGCTTTTTTACTTGAACTGGAGCATTATTGCAACAGCATATTCCTGAGACCAAGTCAAGTGTCTTTAAAATGTTTTACAGACATTTCTAAAACGTTTTAAAAACATCTTTAAGTCGTTTCAAAAACGTCTTTAAGATGTCTTGAAGACGTATGTCTAAAAGACGTCGAAAATCGGGACACAAGACGTCAAAAAGATGTCTTTCTGAAAATTTTGTGAGACGTCCTCGAAAGATTAAGACGTCTCAAAGATGTCTTTAAGACATAACGTTGTCTGGGAAGTTATTGCATTACTTTCTTTGCCCTTATACTCAATTTATGTATTGTTCGAGATATTCGAGAGAAATGCTCTAAATACAAGAAACACTTACTTCGTTCTTTGGATTGACGAGTTATTATAGCCTTTGGACACATTTTCCTCCGCCTGTTGAGCGTTCTTCAACTGCGGCAAAATGCTTTTTAGTACCTACACGGTTAAATAATAATTTTATATAATTGTTAATAAAAATTATATGTTGAATTCAGAGTTGGGAAAGTTATTTTATAAAAGCATATACAGCTTTTTCGCTAAACATGTAACTAGTTACAGTTTCAAGTTACCAATTCTGAAAAGTAACGCATCACAGTTACAGTTGCTTAAAAAGTAACGAATCGTTAGTTTGCAGTCACTTTCTTGCAATAAACATAAATATATCAAAGCTGCATTTAAATTGTAAAGTGTCGCTAAAGGCGTTTATGCGCAAATGCATGGCCTAATACGATCTGTGGAAGTTTAAAAAATATATAAAGTAACTATTAATGTAACTATTAAATATAATTATCGAAAAAATGTAACTGAAAATGAGTTAAGTTACTGTTACAGATGGAGAGAAAGTAACGAAGTTAAGTTAGAGTTACCAAAAAAAAAAGTAACTGTAATCGCACCTTCGTTACAGGTAACGAGTTACTTCCCAACCCTGATTCACGTAATGTTATAATGATATTAATATATTGTAATACTGTTTACTAGACTGTTTACTAGACACGCGTATACACGTCAGGCATCATTTTAATAAAAATTAGTAGCAATTGTGATATGATTGAATGTATCATTATTTGCAACGTATTGTAATAAGAATAAAATAAAATAGCGCGATGTCTGCAAAAATGCCTACATAATTCCGAGATTCATTTATTCCTTTGCATACGTTCAATAGATCTTCAATGTAACGAGTTGAATCTTAACCTACAGTCGCCATCCTATAATTCTAAATTACCTGCAACGATTGTAATTGCTTCTCTTTGGTAGGTTCCTCCTGATTCTTCAGTATATTGTCCCTCCATTGTGAGAATTTCTCGTTACCTCTTAACATGTCAACATTCAAATCAGTAATACTCGTAGCTTTCCTCATACCAATAATCTCTGTATTAATTTGCGGTTCATATTTTGCATTGATTCCTTGTGCTTCCTTCTGATATTTGGCGTTGTTAGACATCGATATGTAACTCTTAGATCGTTGGATATTAGTCTTATCATTGGTCGCGTTGAAAAACTGCCACTTGTAGGGCAGCTTGCCCTGATCATGAATCTTTGGCTCCAGTTTACAGTCTACGTTATCTGCATTCGATTCTTCAGATTTATTTATTGCTTTCTTATTGTGCGATAGATTGTTAATTAATAGCGTATTCCTTGTTGCGTTGTTCTTATCGTAATTACATGCACCAGCGTTATTCCTCGATAGTGTGGCAAATGTCTTAATAAATTTTTGTTCTGAAGATCTTGCACAATCGCTAGATTCTTCGAATTCTTCGAAAATATCCAGACTCTTTTGTTTAGTATAAGTAGTGATAATGAAGTTAGATAAGGTATTGTCCACAGGTGCCAGCTCTGGTGCGGATAAGCTGTCCATATTTCTTCGATCCAAGTCTTTATTAACAGTCTGTGGCAATGTACCTGTTTCTAGTTTGTTTTCCAACTCCGAGATCATCTCTTTTCGTAAGTCCAGGTCGGTCTCTGACTTTTGTGAAGTAAAGAGCGCTTGCTTAACAACAGGCTTGCTCGTTGGTTGCTTAATATCGATTTCTTTTTCAGACACAAAATCTATTTTTTCTTTCAAAGTCTCTTGATCACGACTCACTTTAACATTATTTGATAGATTCTTAATCGATTTGAAGTTTTTATTGGCACTATCTATCGCATCAGTTGGCTCTGAAATTGAGTTAGTAATTGGCTCCTTGAAGACCTCCACTGATCTCAGCGTGACTGTATCGTAATCATCGTAGATAGGTGAATACGAATCGCGAAAGGCACTTGGCGGGGCCGGAAGTTGATACTCCCAGTCACTGATTGACAAATCTTCGCCCATCATCGATACATAATCTGTATCTTGCTGTGAATTTGCTACAGTTATATTCGGTGTGCTGGCACTCACGCCGTTTTCTACCGAAAAATCGATACACGATCTGTAAAGCTCATTGGACTCGTTCTTTGTCTCGATAGATTCTAATGTGATTCCAGAATCATCGGGAACAGCGTTTGTTTGCATGGATGTAGTTGTATAACTTGTCTTAAGAGACGATGATGATTCCGATATCGGGGAAGATAAAGTTGGTAGTACATTCGATAAAGTATCCGATACCTTCTGCAGCAGGATATCAGTCTCGGATGGGATATCCTGGGAAACTGCTGGTATATGTGAACAGAATAAAAGATCAGTCAAACATTGCGGCAATTTTTTCAAATATTTTTTCAAAGAGGATTTTAAACACATAAATTGTGAATGAATGTGTAGTATTACAATCTTAAAGTGATTCTAACGTGACAATTAATGCAAAAGAAAGTAAAAAGAAAAGTTTAAGTTATCCATGAGCGCTGTAAAATGATGTGACAGTTACTCACAAATAAAGAAATGTGAAAAATGATTGAAATTTTAATTGATTTTAAAATAGTTTGATTAATAATTTTTTACATACTGATATGTACAGTAATTTAATATATTGTGCCTAGTATAATAAATAGCAAATCAAGCGTAAATAATGTAAATAAGATATAAAAATATACATAAATCGAAAAAAACCTTGAAAATGCCTATATAATATACAGTAAATTTATATAAATTTCTAACAATACATTTTCAAACAAGAAGACTTCCTCTTTCATCTAATATTGACACTGATTAAATCATATTTATAAAAAGTGTTTCAATATAGGCGTGCAAGTAACTATTACCTCCTATTGTTACATAAGTTTGAAACAAATATTTAGATATACGATAACAGATCATTTTATGTATTATTAGTGATTTTTAAGTATATTACTTGCGTAATATATTAACACTTTCAGTTTTTAAATCAAATTAAATCAGATGAAAAAAAATGATAAAAGTTTTGCTGTACTCTTCCTTCTTTTCTTCTCTCTTTATTATTTATAAATTTATAAATGAAGTGGATTTCGTAACTTAAAAATGGATATAAAGAATTATAAGTAGACTAAAATAAAAATTATATAAAGAATTTTCACTTTTTATTTATTTTATGTGCTTACCATGAATTGTATAAGATCTTCAAAATATACGACATAATATAGAGATTGTTATCTTAAAAAATTCTCTCGAGTTACTTAAACTCAGTACAATCTTGACAAGGACATTTAAGGATACACAAAAATTGCTACCTAATATCCTAATAGGATTACATTTTGTACCAAAAACGTTTTAGACTTTTGCTTTAACACTTTTTGCTAAGATTTTTCAAGAAATAAATTGTTATCAAGTTATATCTCAAATAATTTAGGTATTCTTCTTTCCTTAATAATTTAATTTCTTATTTTTTAAATTATTTATATATTTTGTTATTTCAATATTAATAATATTTAATATTTAATATTTTAATTATTACTTTAATTTTTTATTTTAAACGGGGCCAACTTGTTACTTATGATTACCGGATTATTGCTCCATGATAAAGTATTTACATGAATTAGGTAAATTAAGTCAAGTTATCATTGTATTATTGCAAATATCTCAAAAATGACTCATTTGCAGACCAGTATTTATTAAGACTTCGACTTTTCAACTTGTTTTTGGGTGTATTCTCTCAATCCCTCTAAAATATTTAATCCTGTTTTTTTTTTAGAATCCTGTATATTATTTGGATAAGAAATGAGAATGAAAGTGTCAAAACTCTGTGGGAGGGACAATAAGGGTAAAAATAAAAAAGGGGTTAGTAGTACAACAACATGCACCTGCGGTTAATTTACCATATGTTTCTCCCTTATCTATATCCGTATTTCCCATATCATCAGTGCAATGCCCTGTCACAATTTGTTCCCAGTTCTTTTCTGCAATATCGAAAGATGTAAAATTTTGTGAGGGGATGTTGAAGTTCAAAGCGTGCGCAATGTCCTCCGGAGGCAAAGTAAGATATCGTCTCTGTCTCTTCAAAATGTCTGTCTCGAAGTCGCCCGACTTGGATTGGCTCCGAACTACCTTCGTTCGTTTAGCATTTCTCGTGCCGCTTGATTCTTCGCTCTGATAATTTTCATGTCTTTCACATAATTCATCGATATCTTCTGTGACGACACGTTTTGTGATATTATTTAAAGCACCGTCTTCTCTTATAGCATCAAGATGCTCGCATTTTGGTATGGTAGAGATTACTGTGCACATTTTTTTCTCTTTCTCAAAGTCGCTCTTCTCTGCTGCGCCGCACATCGCGTCTTTCAAATTTGCTCTCTTAACATTGTTTTCAATCTCGCAGGGAGCAATTGTTTTCCTCTGCGCACTGGATGGTTCTTGACAAATGAATTGATGGTGCAATAGTTTAAGCCGTTCGCTTCTCGATTCTTTCATATGATCCAGTTTAATCATACTTTGACTTACAGAACTGTCATCCAATGTCATCCGCAAACTATCACTTTGGTACTCATTTTCATTACATGAAATAATATTTTCGGATCTTATCTTGTCATCTTGTTCCAAAGAATCATTTTCATTTTTTTGAGGGATAATATTACGTTCAGATAATTTCGCTAAAGATACATTTAATTCTAACGTATCAAGCACGGTATGTCCTTTATTATTTAAGTATAAGTCCAAATTTAATGATTTACGATTTTCTACATTGTCGGCAATATCTTGTATCTTTTTCACCTGGCTAAATTTATCTCCACCTACAAATTTATCTTCGAATTTTGAATGAGCTTCTTCTGAATCAACACGAATTAGTTCCATAGAATTTTGTATGCCAAAGTTGTTTTTTACTTGATGATTTGAATCTCGGCTTGATTTTAAAGGCATATCATCTTCGGCTGTAACATTGCCAATATTTTCTGATATTTTTGTTTGCCGATTTATCTGACTTTCATTGAAAGATGTACAGTCAACTTTCAATTTTGAAGATGTTTCTTCTGGCTTAGATGTAGCATCCAATGAAAACGTATCGACAAGTGGAGTACTACAGCATGTTTTATCAATATGTTCAGAATTTCTATGCTCGTGTAATAAAACATTTGTGTTATCGCGCTTGATGCTTAAAGTTCTAGGCGGCGCTAAGGGCGGGGTTACTTTATGCTTAGATATCTTCAGAGATTCCGAAGCGCTAAGTGTACTCGTATTAATCTTTCGAGGCTTGGGTAGGGGTGCAGACTCTCCAACTGATATAAATAAAGAAACAAAAAACAACCATCACCGAAAAATTATAAGCTAGCAAAAAAAGAAAATTGATCAAAGTATATCCATTACTGATTGAAGCAAAGAGGAGGTTTGAATCAACTAGTTGTAAATTCAAATAAAAGCGCAAAACTGACAATAAGTTTTAATACTAAATCTACTATTTTGTTAAATCCACTAATTTTACTTGTGTACTTTTGCATAACGTTTTAAGTCGGGAAATGGTAAGACTATTTTAAAAAGTATACAAAAAGAATAAAATAAAAATATTTCCTTTTCTTTAATTTATTACAATTAGCAGCTCCAAATTAAATAAAATCAATTTTTATTGATATTTTTGTATCAAATACACTTTGATACAATTTTTTAAGTATTTAGAAAAATACTAGTTTTTGGCTTACTAAAAAGCTTTCTAAAAAAATCCAAATAAAAATGCGACTAACTTAACAAGAAAACTAGTACTCTAGCAAATTAGTAGTAAACGTGATCAGATATTTCAATAGATTGTGGTATTATATTACTATACTAATCTAGTGCTTTGTTACAACATAATTTAATGGAATATCAGCAAAAATCTAGCAGAATCTATTATTTTATAATCAGTTAAATGGAATGTTTCATTTAAATAATTAAGAAATATTTTTCAGTTTCTGCAGTTCAATTTGTAATAATATTTTATAATAATAGTTTTTATTACATTTCGAAAAAATGACCGACAAAATTTGTAAGAGACACTATATGTATAAGTTCTTGTTGAAAGATTGGTTATTTGGGAAACATAATTCAAGTCGGTGAAGATATTATTAACATTTATATGAAATTTACATTTATAAATTTTTTATCTTAGTAATTCCATTATGATTTATTTTGTCTTCCATTAATTAAATTTAAAGCTTAATTATCAGTTGTGTATTATTAAAACATAAAGCTAAAAATTAGGGACAAAGAGAGATGATATGCAGAAAAAATTCAAGGAGTGCTTTATTTTGAAATGAAGAGAAACTAAAGATCGAATCTTTAGATTAATTCTATTAGAACATCTATTACGTATATAAGGTTTCAAACAAATTTACCAACTCTATTCTCGAGGATCGAGTTCAACTGGACTAAGAAATGATTCCAGCTTTCATTTGATTCTTGACGACTAACCAGACCAGATGGCGGGGGCTCCAAAATACTTAGCTTTCTCTGCTGCAATTTGTTCACGGTACAATTTGTAATAGGTAACGAAGGTAGCTTAATGTCGTTGGGAACGGATTCCGCGGGTCCCACTTGGATATCTAATGGTTTCGTAGAGATCGCGAATATTTGCAAGGTACTTAAAGGTGGGGGATAAAAATTGTTTTCTGTATACTGCTCTGAACAATTACGAGATTTTCGGTTGTTACTGGAAACTATGGAACTCGTGTAGCATCTTGTCGTGCTTATTCTATCTAATTTCGGAATGTAAGATGGAAATTCCAACGAACTTGGTATTTTGGAATATTTTAAATGAAGACTTTGTGATAACATCAAACCTGGTTTTTCGAAAAAACTCAATAATTTAGTTTCTCTTAGAGTTATATTATTTTGAAAATTTATATTACACGCTGAGATTTTCTCAGCACACTTACCATAGCTTTTTACATAGGATTTAGCCCACCTGCTTGATCTATTTGCAAGAAGCTCACGATTGTCAAAAGAAATCGTCCCAGCGCGATATTTATGTAAGATCGATTTTGTCCTTCTAAGATCTTGAGAATATCGACAAATTCGAGGTAGTTGACTTATTATATCCCGGATATAAGTCTGATTGTTAGTAGCAATACCGACCAAAACATCATTTACAAAGTTAACACTTGCAGAATTGCCATGTTGCAAGCGGTATTTTTGAACAGTAGCATGCAATCTGTTTCTCTGTGATACTGAAAGTCTACGTTTTCTTGGATATAATATAATGTGGGAGGATATTTTTTCATCAATGTTTGTACCTTCACCGACTTGTGGATCTAAGGCTTTAGGATTACAAAGCAAAGCATTTAAATTACTGGCAGTATTTTTTAGCTTACCTTTCTTCGCTGCTACTCTAGCTTGCTCTACTATCGGGGTGGCTTCTACAGGTACGATCTTTTCCGTTTTATCAATCTCGGAGATAACCAAATCTGATTTAGGACGCGCTTCGGTATTTGTTTCAATAGTACAATTCTGTTGGATGTCGACATTGGGCTCGTACATTGCAATTTCTGGCTTTAATTCACAGTCTAATTGACGCATGGACTGTGCGCTGATGCCGATATCGGAATTAACTTTGGGGCAATCAATGTCGGAGCCGGCCTTTGATGACGCACCAATATCTGATGGCGGTTTTGAAGGTTCTATATCAGATGTTAACGACTCCTCGGAATCGACAATGCGTTCTAAAGCCTGCGTGGAAGTAGTCGATGAAAGTGGCCTGGGCGTCGGCGGAGGAGGAGCTGCTCTCTTCTTTCGAAGACCTACGCAAGTGATGTTTCCTTGGTTTAAAATATTGTGCAAAACAGTAATGTTTTTCATACACGTACGTGTACAAATAAAATTCCACTTGGCTATAAATAATTATTTGAACGATAGAAAGAAAATGGACTTGAACAATTAATTGGCGAGTGTTAAATCTACAGGGTGTTTCCTCTAAGCTGAGGACGTAGAATATCTCTGTTTTCTTTAATGATACGAAAAATGTCGAAGGACGAAAATTGTTCAATTCAAAGGAACTAATATTCTGATAAGCGAAATTTTGTTTTAATGTTACTCTTTACAAGATTTTAAGGTCATCGACATTTCTTAAATGAAACGACATATTTTTAAATCACAAAACTCACGTTTAGAAAATGAAACTATAGAGAATGAAACCCTACCCTAGTAGCACAGTGCATGGATCAAACATTGGTTAAAGAAACGGTCACATTGTCCCAATATTTGGTTGTATTGGGCCAATGGTTAGCCAATGCATTATACTACTAGGGTACACTCTAGGCAGGCGTCTATTCTAAGTGATTAAATCTCACCAGTGGAGCTAAGAGAAGTGGTGCTAATCCCTCGACTGATTGTGAGCGTTTCACTGGTTGCTGGTAAATTACCCAGACTCTTGCTGGACTGTGAGGTTTGCCCTAATTTTCTGGGCAAATCAGACAAACCTGGTGCCTTGCTTCTCCTTGGTAGAGTTTCTGGTAGTCTCACAGCCGAATCTGGATTATCGCTGAGCACGGACGCCTCATGGTAACCAGAACTATCGCTGCTGTTACGACTATGACTGATTGTCATTTTGTCTTTGTTGCTGCCTCCAGACATATCTTGAATAATTTGTGCAGCATTGGCGGGTGGTTTCGGGGCTGGCCTTCTCTTTCTTTGTGGTCGAACCGGCGGCTGAAGCGGACTAACGCTTCTCGCGGTTTCATCACTCCTGGCTGGCGATACACTGCGTGCCCCAAGACTATCCGTGCTCAGAGAGCTTTCCTTGGACTTCTTAAATATGAAACCGAATACACTTTGCTTTGTTTGCTGCCGTCGTCGTTCCTCTTGCCTCTGCAACGCCATTATATCTTCTGTACTTAATGTTGGACCCATATTCATAGTTTGTTTCGCGTACAGAGTCACTTCCTGCAGGTGATAATCCTGCAGAGACAGTGATAGGTCTAATGTCTCCTCCAGATTAACTAGAACAGTAAAAACAGATTGTTTCAACATTTGATATTAGACGTCGATTAGCATTAAGAAATATTACGTCTGACAATTTATAGCGTCAAAATAATTGCAGTAATTTATAATAATTAGATTAATGTCTCGTAATGATGAATTTCAATAGCTTCTTAAAAATCACGTTGTGTAAATATAATTTTGAATAATCACTAATAAGTGAAACGCAGGACTGACATGAGTCTAACAATTAATTGAATCTTTTCAATTAATGCCATTTTCAATCATACTGAACTATAGTAGGTTAATAACATTTCTATAAATTTTGTATACTTTTTCCAACTTACAAGGAAAAAGAAATCTCTCTCCGATCTTGATGAGCTTTTAATATGTTGTTTTCTAGACAAAAGTAAGGGATACATATTTTTTATACATGCTCATACGCATGTTTAGGGGGTAAAACACCCCTTTGAAGAAAATCGGTTTTTCACTTTCAGTACAAATATCTCCGAAACTATAAGAGATAGAAAAAAAGTGTTCAAATAAAAGGGAGTACTATAAAACAGTAACCAAATTTTTATTTTTTTATTTTTAAAATACCCTCACTACTCAAAAACATAGTTCAAAATATGCATATATGCACTATGTGGCCCGTCTATGCGACCGATTCTTAACGCAACACGTTTTGCATCTTCCTGTAATAGAAACTGGCTTTGAAAAAAATTCATCAAGAAACACGGTAGTGTCTCACGCCAAGTACAAGCGTAACGAAAACCGTGCGAGCGAGACCGACCGTGTATATTTACACGAGTACATGAGTTGAAAGGTCCTTACATTATCGCATCTGAATAACGGTAGATCTGATCGACTTCTAAGTATGCTCAATCGATAGCTTGGGTCTGATTTGCGCAATAAAAGTGTTTTTATTTTCCGCTTATGTACCCTACGAGCGGACATCTCGCAACACAAAGTTAGAAATGTCAAATCTCATATAAGAAACGTCGTACTTGTAGGTTTGAACTTTTGCCCGAAACATTTTTTGAAAAACCTCTTCTATTTGAGATATTCACGTAGATTGATTAAAATGATCCATCCTGTATATGTATTGTATATGTATATATGTATATCCAATACATACAGTATACAGGGTCCCAATTTAATGTCCCACCCCAAATAACTGTTTATTTTTGATCGCAGAAAAAAATGTTTCAGACAAAAGTTGTTTGGTTCGAGGGGGGACATAAGATCGTGCCATCAGTTTGACCTTGTCGAGTTGCTTGGAGGTCACGTAAAGGTCACCCTCAATTTTTTAAATGGAACTCCCTGTTATTTATTATACAATCTTATTCTACTAATTAATATGAATAACTTTTGTCTGAAATATTTTTCGATTTGCCTAATACTTGTTGAGATATTCAAGAGAAAATTTATAACTTTTTCAATGTTTAGCTTATGATATCTCGATAGCTGTTTGTCGGAGGGAAAAGTAGTACAGGACTTTTTTTATTTGATTTGGTCTAAAAAAATGTGCTGTTGCAATAGTGTTCCAATTATTGCAACAGCATACTTCTGAGACCAAATCAAATAAAAAATATTTTGCTGTATTTAAAGAATATAAAGTTAATAAAAAAGTACAGCAAAATATTTTTTGTACAATGACAACTTTGATAAGAATAATAATAGAATTAAAATATTTGCATGATAATTTCTAACGCTTTAGATCCAACTCTTCTTTTACGCGTTAAAATGTTCTTCCACATAAGCGTGAAAAGAATATACCACCAAATAAAGAATTTTCATAAAATATCATTATTGTATAAGATACGCAAATACCGAAAATTATTTCTTTTTACGCGATAGATATGGTATTGTGCTAAAACCATTGTGAAAAAATTGGGGAAAAAATATTTGGGTGCGTTCGACAACCATATCGAATTCTAGCATCAGAAATGCAAGGTTTTCCTTGCACCATATATCGAAATAAATTTGATCACATCGCTACATAATACTATAGACTGATAAAATTCATCAAAGAGTTTCATTCTGGCTTATGGATTAACAAATGTTTATAAACGTTAATCACAGGATTTATTTTCGTGCCCATCAGAAGCGAACTGTTATATTAAACTACTTTTATTTATGCTGAATAAAGTGTTTGTAGAAATATTTTATTTTAAAGTTGAAATAAATTTTGTACAAAAAGTTCTTATACATAATAAAAGAAATATTATATAAAATGATTATATTGCAATACGAATATGTAACTGATTTTTATATAACGAATATTTAAGTAAATATAAGTTAACGTTTCATAATTATAAAAATACGTTTAAAAAATATTGACATCATAAAATTGCATCAAGTAAAAAATAAAAATGCTACAAGTTTTATAAAATAAAAAATGTTAAACATTATAAAAAGAAGATATTTAAATGTAATTGCAAAATCACTAAGAAAATATAGAACATGATTATGAAAAAAAAACACAGAAAAAGAAATATAAATACACGCATTGAGTTGCTCTAGTAATTTTATCAATTTACCAATATCGGATAATAAAAGAGTTTTTAATGTATTTTACACATCCTGTCAAACGTACACGTGGCATGTGAAGAAACCAATTTATTTGATTATACGTACAGCAAAACAATTTCGCTTTCAATGTCACAATAGGATATGGCTGAAGAAACGCAAGTGGCAAAAATGTGAAAATACTGTTGCAGAAAAAAGGGTGAAGATATGTCCCTCACCTGTGTATTGTCGCCTGCGGGAGCATCGACTCACGTCGCAGCGTCCGAGGGACTCGCCGCGGCGCGAGCGTGAATGCACCGAGAGGTATGCGAGCGGGAAACTGGAATTGCGTTCTCTTCGTTCCCTTGCGCAGCGCGGTGCGGCGCGGATCAATTATAAAGCATACGCAAGCGAGCGCAAGCGGGTAGCGCGGGGTGTCGGCGTTTACATTCGCTCCTTCGCGGGACGAGCGCGCGAGGATGAGGACGAGGAGAGTCGCGGAGCCTAACGACTAGGAGTAACAAGTGCTGTAGGTTGCCAGACGGCAACCTTGCGATAGTGATCTCAGCAGCCGGTCGTTGTAACTAGCTAACTGAAATATCTCGTGTACGGCTGTGCGTTGCAGAATACGTGGTGTCCTGTCAGAAGTGGAGATCATTAGGATGGAATGTTTTCAATTGCCACAAAGTTAATTTTAAGAGCCTGATCACTAAATTTCACTATTAAATATTGATTCTGCCATTTATTAAATTGTTTTAATTTCAAAATTTTTATTAATTTGCTCATATATAATTTCATTTTTATTTATAAAAATTAATTTGTCATGTTAAATACACATATACGACCAGATATATGACCAACTGAACATTTTGGAAACTGTGTGGATTCTTAGAATTACCAAAATAATTTCAAATTTCTTTTTCCCTGTTTTACGTGCTCAAACTCGTTTTATGATTATATACATATTTGCATTTTGTGTGCGTGTGTGCATATGCGTGTGTGTATGCGTGTGCGCGTGCGTGTGTGCGTGTCCTTAAACGTATATGATAGCGTAAACTACATAGCATTTATGAAAATTCTTTTTTTAATAACTCTTTAATGAACAATGAGTGATGGGAAATGTCAATGGCCTCCTTAGAGGTCAAAGTCAACATCAAGGTCAACCAGAAGTCACTTGGTGGGGGGTGACTTATAGTAAATATTTACCCAAAATTTTAATGGTTTGAAATATTTAAACTTATTTTTTGCTTTGTTTCCTAAGTTATATCATTGTGTAGCAACTGTAGCCAAGCGCGCGTGCGCCCATGTACATACATATACATATGTATGTGAGTATTTTAATCAACTACAACCATAAACACATATTATGATGAAACTTGAAGAAATCAAAATGTACATAAGAATCATTAAAGGATCAGAAAATAACTTATTGTTAGATGTAGACTTTCAGACAATTGGATTGCGTTTATATTATGTACGCATGTGCACGATCTCACTTGGCTTCTGAAGCCTTATTCACATGTATCTATTAACTACACATGTATAATATATATACTATAGAAATAAATATTGTATATATGTATATGTACATGTATATACAGGGTGAGTTTTATTTCGTGAACCAGAGATCTCTGTCTATAGTATCTGAAGCAAGATATTGGGCCTCAAAGTTACACTATATAAATAATTATTTTTCGTAAAAATAAAGAACGTCTTCTATTATAATTGGATAATTACATCATTATTAATGACATTAAAATTCACTAGAATCGTCAGATGATTTGATTACTACGCAATAATCAGCGTTCTTGTGGGACTGGAATCTTGGTTTGATAATTGCCATGTTCTAGAACTCAGTTTACAATCACACAGTCTGGATACTACTAGATAGAAGAAAGTGCCTATGACATTTATGATTTGGCATAAATTTCATCGTTGTCCGTAAGGGGGGCAATTTTCCCTTACATTTTGGGCATTCTCCTTTATACACCGTCTTAAATAAGTCTGGCATTGAAATTGACATTTTAATGATTTAATGTTAGCATACTGCGTAAATAAATCCTCTAATTAGTATTATTAATTAATGCATTGATAATAACTAAGCTGTTCAGATACCTTTAATTGCAGTCGCTCAAAACCAGATTTAATATACTTAATAATATTATTATTCAAGCTTATCATCCCAGACAGCACACATATCTAAAAGACATCATAAAGACGTCTTTAAGACGTCTTTTAGACTTAAAGACGTCTTAAAGCTGTCTTTTTAGACATGGCGTGCTTATGCTTCTGATTCAAAAGAAGAATAATATAACAAATTGTCAGAATAGAAAAATATTCACGTGTGCAATTAATTATACTACATACACATCTACAAAAATTATATATGTATAAATAGTAGCAAATTAAAAATCTACATTTTTTACTAAATTAATAACTTAAGTATTTAAATTATCTCATTATTGAGAAAAACTAATAGTTTACAAATGTATAACAGTTCAAAATCTTTTATTACGTATTTAATTATCAAACTGCAAATTTTTTTCAAGTTTATTCACACAATTTTGTAAAGTTTAATAAATCCAGGCGCACTTTTATCTTGTTTGTAAATATTTACCTGGATGACGGAGCTCATACTTGCTCTTGTCCAGATTCTTCTCGCGACACACTTCATCCAGAATTTCTCCAAGGTTCATCTTTGGACTGACCCTCGACACGTACAGTTGATTTCTCGGCAAATGTACCTGCACCGATAATCAAGTTGTCGTGTATTGCATTACCGATTTATTGCATCCGCGCTGTGATTATACTCCAAGTTTGCAACTGGTTCTAAATGCGGTTCTTGAAGAAGCCAGATAACATAAGAGTGTATCATTTACTTTTAGCATTTGTCGAGAAAATACGGGTCAAACTGCTTTTACTTGCTACGACTTACTTATACCCATCGCATTTCTTCTTCAGAAAATCTTTACTTTCAGGATTGATGCGTTTGAAGTCTAAATTTCAAAATTCTACACAAAAATATTTTACACCTCCAAGTGAAAATTATTTGCTTTGACGTAATAAAGATATCGTAAAGTACTCCTTATTTCCTAATAAATGTAAAATATATTATTCATATATTGCAAAAAGAATAGTAAAAAGTTAAGAATATATTTTAGAATAAACATTATACAAAGTGTTTATTTGTTGACATAAGAGAGTTACTTTCATACGCAATTCCCGACCTATAATATTTCAGAAATCGGAACACTTAAAACATACACACACAAGATATACAATATTTATTTAAATACTTATAGATATTGAGAATGTTTGCTATTTTTCATTTTTCTTGGCGATTGTAAAAGAATATTAATCACGTAAGAAGAGTTAAAAACAAAAAACATGAAATTCATATCTTTTTTATCTCAAGTTCTGAAAAAAAAGAAAAATTTCTACACGGAAAGAAAAATGTAGCTACCGTAGCTAAAGCCTGTATGTGGCAACTACATTTCAGTCGTAAAATATGGACAGCTAATATTTAGTTGTGATAGCTATATGTATATTTAATTGCTACTGTGCCTATTGTATTAGGTGCGATAGCAAACCATTTGCCTTGGCATAGAAATTTATAATTACCTATAGCATCAAAATATTTTTAGCACACCATGATTAGCTACGGTAGCGAAAGTTTTTTTTAGTGAATTTTGCACATTTTTAACATCTTTGAAATAATAAAAACAGCTAAAACAAATGTGTTTGAGTAACGTGTTTATAGGAAGTATAGAGCAAACTAGACTTATAAGTTTGATTTTATATGAACAATAAAGTAGTTAAATCAGATTTACATTAATTGCGATGGATAATAGCTTTCAAAAACGTGACGGTATTTTTTTCTTACCTGCAATCTGAATGTCGTTTCGAAAGGTTGATTAGCCTGTTTGGTTTTATGCGGCACGCACGCGTTTTGCTTGGGAAGTAATTTAACCTGAGAGGCAAAACATTAACGAATTTAATTGCTTCGCAAATTTTGTCAATGTATCAATTATCAATTAGTTATGAAAATCTTGAGAAATTAGTTAACGCTACGCAATATAAAATATATGGTATTTGATATCAAGTTTTCTTTCATGAGAAATAAAATAAAGAAATACATAAATATTTATATGTTGAACAATTAAAGACACGTTTTTTAATATCAAAATAATTATCTATAATAAAAATCTACAAATTCTAATTTATCAAAAATAATTAAAAATTTTTTAAATAAAATAAAGCGATGTCAAATACTTTAATAGCTTTTTCCACGAAATGTATATTAGTAAAATGTATATTATGTATATGTATTAGTAAAAGTATAATGAAAAAAATTATTGAGAATAATTGGTATTCTGCCAAACTCAAGTGAAGAGCGAATGATAGAATTTAAAAATTATTAATGTTTGTAACTCCAGGAGAAAGTATAGCAATCGGTACTGGAAACAGACATGCAAAAGGGTTAATCTAACACGCGATGTAGCGAGTGAGCGTCAAAGTGTTCTTAGAAAGCGCGTTCTCGCGTAGAAATGCATGTGACACGTGTAGAGAAATTATTAGAATCATTATGGTAAAATCGGGAAGCGATATATCTTTTTCTTACTTATGCAAATCCATGAGATCATACACAATTGCTTATCCGAAAGAAAAATAACGAAATCAATCGCTCATGATTAATTTTTTGCTTCAAAATCCAATTTTTATTCGAAAGATAATATCTCAAATTAGCTTAGAAATTTTGAAAATTTCCAATTTCGCTGCAAAGATTTATAGTTTTGCAAAAGAGGTAAAGTTGATAGAGTTTTCAATTGCACAAAAAAAGTGACGTACAACAAATTCGACACATATTATTTATCAAAATACTGAATAAAAAAAATAAATTTATACATACATATATGATGCATTATTCGTTACCAGGTAGTGCTAGACGCAAAGCTACTTTGAAGATGCAATTTTATTATATTTTCCTTTCTTTAATCCTGATAATAATTTTATTACACAAGTTCATATTTTCTCAATTAAGGACTAACAATTAGATATTACATTTAATTTAAAAAATTAATATTTGTTCAATGCAAGAAAATCATCCTCAGGTATTTATATATAATATTATACGTATATGCCTTTATACATATAAACCGCCGTACACATAAAGGATACAAGAAAGTTTTAGAAAGAATACACATTATATCTATTATACTATTTTTGTTTAAAATAGAAAACTAAAGTTACCTGAAGAGCGTCCAATGCTCCTATAGGAGTGTTCGGATGATGAGGAAGAATCAAGCCACGTTCGCCGATCGCTTGTAAGGTGTAGCTCGAAGCCGTCAATTTGTGAGCCGTCGTGATCTGCACCAGAAGGTCCATCATTGGTGTGCTGTGAATAATCACATTAACAGATCTTGTTTAATTCAAGAACATATTGACAAACTCATATACATACACGCATACGCATGCACGCATGTTCGCACTTTATGCATATAAACTTGAAATGCACGCAAGCGTATACACATATATTAGTAGTACTTCAATGTACTCATCTTCATTTGTCCCTGACTTTGATACGTGTTATTTTATTGAGTTCCGTACCACTCAACTTTCAACTATCACTAACCATTAGTCTCAAAATTATTCAGAAAAAATTACGTTACTTGAACAGCATTTATTTATTCAAAATATTTCATTTTATAATAGTAGAGGGTAAACTCGGGTAAGATGGCCATAGTTTTTTCTAATGCAAAAAGCATACATTTATTTTTGCTATTTTTTAATTGTGCTTGGTGTCCTGCTTCGTTGAAGCTTAAAGTACGCAATACTATCAAAACTAACGAAAAAACACAAATTTTATATTATCCAAGTATTACAACGTATGCATTGGCCATCTTACCCGACTTGTAGGGAAAAGATGGCTATAGTATGATGGGACAGTTGGACATACATATTATATATAAAATATACATTCAATATATTGTGAATAATAAAAAAGAGCTCCCAGACAGTAACAGTGACCAATAAGCGGGTATTTACGCGTTCTAGACAAAGAATTCGGCTACAGGCAGAGAGTATGCCCGTCGAGAGCAAACTCTCCCCACGATGGAAATTAACATCGGTATTTACACGCGTACACTAACGACAATTCAAAGACGGTTTCATTAACACAATAATAAAACTTAGAGAGAATTACAGGTGATATTCCGTGACTGAACAGAGTGTGCGGCCATCTTACCCGAACTGCGAGGAAAAGATGGCCACAGTATTATAAATAAATAGTGAAAATAGAAATACAGATTACAGGTAAAATTTACAATTTACAAACCTTTATTATGTGTGTAACGTTGATTTCGACAGCTTAACTGCAATTTATTTAACGTTATAGCAGCTGTTAGTGAACACATGAAAAACTTTGCAGGCAGTCGAAAGTAAAAATGTGTTATAATATTCACGATATTGTTATTTCGAATAGTAAATGCACATAAACTACTGTAAATACCGATTATCTTTCCGAATAATTAAAAACGTACACTATTTAGCAAATTTTTTTTAAGACTTAGCAAGCGAGGAAGAGTTTGGCAGAATAAAGGATCGTCCTGTGAATACGATATTCTTACGTTTCCCGACAACCTACCACCACTGTAATATATATCAGAATTTAAATAAACTTGTGAAATTTATAAGTACATTAGAAACGTGGCTGTTTTCATTCGCAGGAGCAAAGTACCTAAGATTAATTAGATGTCTTTATCCATCGTAAGAAGGAATTCTTTGGGATGCAACGTAAAAGTCGAAATTATTTTAAGATAATTCGAGTACATGTTGTACACAATTGAGTAATCTAATTTTTAATGAGTTGTAAGAGAATTGTGTCTATAATAATTGTTTTTATCAAAAGGAAAATCTTTCAGAGAATGCAAAAAATCGAAATTACTCTGATATGAGAGCACATAATTCATGCATAAATATCCTGTATATTTAATTTTCAGAATTATCTTTTGATTGATTTTATTGATTTTATTGCAAATATACCTTCTCAGTACTGTGACTTTCTGCGTAACAAGGTGATGCTCTCGAGGTAGCTGGACTAGAAGTTCCATACTTCCGGTCAGCATATCCGCCGGAGTATCCTCAGTCACAGTAAGAACCATTCTGGATGACCTCTCTTCTCTGTTCCTGAAACAATATATTATTCTATTAAAATTATTAACAAAAGTTGTGTTTTATAGATATTATCACGCTATTACAAAAACGCAGCAATAAACAAGTTTTATGAATTGTATCTACTTTAAAATTTGTTACAGATTCCGATTCATGGATCTAGGTGACAATCCTGCTGCTTGTGTTTTTGCGAACGCTACGACTATGTAATATCCAAAACTATCCTTATAACTCTCTCATTTTTATTCTTTCCTGTATTCTTCCCAGTAAACTCTATACTATACTGAAATATCTACTCAAGTGGGAAAAGATGGACAGGGTGAGACGGACAAGTGGTTACCACTGCTCTCTTCCTAGTAATTCTGATTGGTCAATGATTTTCTATCTCACTATTTCTATCGCACTAATACAAGGTGAGACAGAAAAACGTGCTCGATTTCTGCGTCTATTATTGTATTATGTCATAAGTTCCAAATAAATATTAAAGTAACTAGTGATGCATTGAAATTGTTATAAGATGAAAATCATGAGAGGCAAGAAAACTTACAGTCCCCTCATTGTATAATACACACAATATATTGGGTGTGAATTGATCACCAACATTGATCCACCATTGTAAGATAGATATTTTTTCTTGTAGCCAATATGTTCAGCAATATTGATTCAACGTTAAGCAATAATATTCATATAGTTTTTCATATCGGATATGAGTTATATTTTAGTAAAATAAAAATTTAAATAGCAAACTGTTACTGTATACATAAAACAAATGAATCTTAATATTTAGATACCATTTTATTTTATTAATCGAGTAAAAAATAACTTTGAAGCTGAGAGACTACCATTAGAGCAAATACGGTAAACATGTGATTTATTACGCTCAGCCTTTCGACCTAGAAACCGGGACTTGGTTTACAATTGAAATACCGTAAACAATTCGTGGATGAAAAGTGCACTTTTAGTACAGAGTACCGCATGTTCAGTATTCAATACTTTATGTTCACGAACAGCTTTCCCCTGTTGTTCCTGAAGTTATATTCGTCGACTCATTCGTTCGAAGGACAACGTAATTATTATACGTCTGTATCTAACAATTGTTATATGAACTCGTCATGTTCAGATAACAGTAAAAAGCTATCTTTAGTTTATCGTATCATTAACTAGCCAACTAAATTTAAAGATGTAGAGAAAAATATCATTGATTATAATATATTCAATAAAATTTTAATATTTTTAACGATTATGCTGCATGATTAAATTTTTAAACATTTAATTCAACTTTATAACATTATAAGAAAGAATACAATTTATGTATACAAAAATATGAATTAGAAACATAATATTGATAATAAAATACATTTAATACAAATATAAATTAGAAACATAAATTGATAATAAAATACATCAATTAATGTAATTAATTCGTTTAACAAGTGAAAAGAATCTTATATAGAAAGATAAATAAAATAATCGAGTAAAAATAAAATCTTGAGAAAAAGAATAAAGCACCATAAATAAATATGTGTAAAATAAATTTGCAATGCTTTTAATGGCAAATGCAGTAGACTTTCGTTCTCTCCAGAGATAATTGTCATTCTATTTATTCTTTGATGTGCTCTATAAAGACCTCGATCAGTACAGAAAACCGATTTAATTGAAGCTTCCTGGTTCTTTGTCGCTTCTTCTCATCTGACAAACAGGAAGAAAGGAAATAAAAAAAAAGAAGGCTAAAAAGCAGGTGGCCATAATCAATATAAAAGAAGACTATGGAGAAATCATCAGTAAAACTCTTACCATATTTACCTGACATATATCAATTCAAGAGAATCATCTTAATGAACGGAAGGAGCAGAATACCAGCAATTCAACTTTTGTTTTCGCAAGACAGAGGTATTCTTTTCCTGTACAGATTTTCTTTAAAAATTGCCAGTTTTTTTGAAATCGTATCGAGACTTTTTAAATATGAATAAGATAGATTGTTTCTTAGTTAATATCAATTTCTTATATCGTTTTTTAAAGTTATTCAAAACTTAGTAAATGTTTTCAAATAAAAGTGTTTTTATATAAATGTAATGTTTTTATGTAAATGTTTTTATATTTATAGTCAAGTAATTCCATGAGTTCTTGCATTACCTGACATGTTAGAACTTGATGTAAATATTATTTAGATAAACTGTTGATTACATAAAACGTAAGCACTCAATTTTAAACACTGAACATAGCACTTTTAATAGATTTTGTTTTTCTGTTACTTTTCAATGATAATAATAATAATAATAACAACGAAGCTTGTTTGTTTATTGTCAGATTTATTAATAACGCAGCAAGAATGTGACATTCCCTCCCTCTCTTTCTCTCGAATGAAACGATATAAAAATGCAGAACTATAAAATTCAGAATATATATATATATTTTTTTTTCTTTCTAATCACTTCCTAATTTTCCCGCGTTGTAAGGTTTCGCCAACTTTCTCGCACTGTATCTGTCTTTTCACATACCTCACCGGCCTTTAAGAAACTAGATCAAGCACTTTTTGTCTCTTTATTATTGTCCGCAAACAATGTTCACATTATTGTTACGGTTCTCACAAGAGTGGATCTTTCCTACAAATGATCATGACAATTCGCCAAGAAACGAATACTTTTGTATTCTACTCATAGAAAATACCATTAATTATTAAAAATCGTCGTCCCGGCCTATACCGCCCAATTCGACCGCGTGGCGAGATGTGACCGCTCGGCGATCGATGTTGCTAGGCGCACGGAAAGTTGTTTATCGCAATCGGCTATAGTTACGCACAAGCGGCGCGTAAAATAAATAAATAAATAAATCAGATGTAGATTCCATCGGTTAATTTCGCTTTAATTTATTTTGTCTGATCGCAAATGTGTAGCCGGCTATCGTGCGGGTCGCCTCGCACCGTTTTCTATTTTCATGTAACATACATACATATGCACAAATATTTTTATGCCGAATTTTATTTTTATTAAAAAAATGCTGAAGAATTGTTATAGCTCGGAACGGGGGTCCAGAGTTACGCGCCGCTTGTGCGTAGCCATTATGATTATTTGAAATACTACCCATTATTTTGAAACATGCGCTAAGTAATAGATCAGTAAAGTCACTAGTAAAGTATCCTTTTATTAGGCTAATAATTCGCACACGTGCTTGGCACATATCAATATTTTTCTGACAGTTTAAATAAAATTACATGTATAACCAAATTTTGAGATTAAATATTATTTTCAGTAAAATTAAGAAACATAATGTGGCTTATACTATAATATAATATATGCTAAAATAACACAGTAAAAAACATATTCACTATATTACACATTAACATCACTTATGCTGAAAAGTATATTATATTTATTATAATTAAATTCGTAACTTTTTAACATCGGGGAAATCAAGGATGTTCACATGTACATACGTTTAATTTAAATTGGTTAAATAAGTAAAACAAAAAAATTAGTTAAATAAATAAAATAAAAAAATTTCTAATACATGTACAAATTCTTCACAATTCTGTCTTGTTTGCATGTACAATATGTCCAGCAGGTATAATTACATAAGCATTTAAATAAAAGATGATATTTTCCATGGTTAAACTTTCAAGATAAATATTTATAATGCGATGATTACGTGATAGTTACTCAACTTTCTGCGTTACCTAATTATTGTTGCTTAATAAATTTCCACCGTTAATATCGTAAAGGATGGTACGATTTCTACTGCCAGGTCTTTTTCATTCTTTGTTTATCGATTATTTAAATTTATCGACACATTATGCTTGTTCAATTTGCACCAAAAATAGAATGTCTCATAAATTTAAAGATATGAAAAAATATCCGTCTTTCTTTATTGACCAGAAAGAGGAAAGCACTTCAAAGTATTTGTATCAAATGAACTACAGACTATTAAATAAAAATTAAACAATCAAAAAATCACTATTTAAATATGAGGCAATGAATAATATTTAGAAAGTTAGAAAAGATTAATTGTGTAACTAAATATACATGTAGGGTTTATCAAAAATGGAAACCACGAAACATTTTGAAAAATACATATTTCTCTGAGAAATGTTCCATTCGAAAATTACATTTTCAAGTGGTGCATTATATAGTAATAGTGTAACCTTAAAGAACGCATAAAGATTAGGTCGCATAAAGATCATCTTGAAATTAAAATATTAAAGACTCGCAATTACTATTAAATATTTTTATAATTTACTTCGAGGGCTTTTTGAAACATTATAATAAAGTATTTTCGTTAGGCACTTTTCGAATTATGAAACTTTTTCTTCTCGCTTTTACTCTATGTAAAACTGAGTATCTTTCGAAATGCCAAATGTGTTGAGATGTGACACGTGGACAGAGAAACAAACAAAATAATAAATAGATATAATAAGAACAACGTCACGAATCTAGAAAATAGGTTAATGTGAGAACAAAAAAGAAAATCAGAACAAAGAGTTTATTTTTCCCGTAAAGGGTAAGTAATGCACAACGCAACATGAGCATCGTTTCTTGCACCCATGACATTAATGATGATAACTTTCTTTTATGAAATTTGTGATTTTCGCACCTTTGTCAATCTTTCAGACTTCCTATATCATGTTTCCATATATTTTTATTAGAATTAGAACTTTTATATTAGAACTTTCACCATTCATCAAACAAGTTTAGACTATTAATAAGTAAACTTATGAATTATTGTGTTATCCATACAAAAAGGGCACTTATAAAAGAATTATATAAGTGTCCTTTTCGTATGAATAACACAAATAATAGCAATGCCTTATAAGGTTGAATCAGTTTACTGTCTAATAATATTTTTGCACATACATCTTTTTTTCAATACAGCAAACTGCGCGCCGATACAAAAGTATTTTTTAGAAACAGATTTATTGCAAAATTTAATGATGTGTATTCACTTGTTGTTCTATCCTTTATTTGTTCCTCAAAATATTTGATAGAAATTCATTTTAAAAGCAGAACGGGGTTAAACGGGCA